ATTTTAAATGGAGTATAAAAGATTTAACAAGTAAGTCATATTATAATACCATTATAAAAAAAGCTACTACATTCACGCCTAAGCAGATCGTTCCTTACTTCTTTTTAATGGAATAGTAATGCCTTTCCCCATAGATGGTATTATTGCTAGAAATGGAGAAGATTTTCAGGTTTAACTGAAACTTTGAAATGACAATATATTATGGATGGACAAGCTATGGTCTAGGGTCATAGACAGTCCTAAACCACCAAAAAGTGTGACCTCCTAGAATCTTAGGAACTTGGTTTGCTTTTCCTGCTGGCCAACTAATCAGCATCATCAGCTGGCCGGCAGGAAATGGATCATTGGTTTCCTGCTGCTGTTAAGGCAGGAAGCCCAACAATCTGGTGTCCCAACCGCTTGCTGATTACTTATTCAAAAGATTGGTGAGGATCAGACCACTGTTTTCCGGTTGCTAGTAGTCATTGAAAATCAACAACCTGTAGAGGGACTTCACTGGGTCAGATTTATCTCTGTAGAGCTCTTGGCTTCCAAATTTCAGAGCATCTCCTCTTGTATGCATATTCCAGGTAACAGAAAGCAGATGCTAGCTTTGTTGTGGATGGACATAAGTGGGCTTCTGAATGAACAGTAGGTGGGAAATTAACGTATCTGATTTAGTGATCCGGGAACATTGATCAGGATGCAATGTGCTTCAAGTCCCACAAACATTTGGTAGCAAATTGCTAACAGCAAAACAATAAATATTACTCAAATGAACAGCAGTGGCACTTAGACTTATATACCGCTTCACAGTGTTTTACAGCCCCTCTCTGAGCAGTTTACAGAGTCAGCCTATTGCCCTCCCCAACAATATGGGTCCTCATTTTCCTGACCTCGGAAGGATGGAAGGCTGAGTCAGCCTTGAGCCGCTCAGGATTGAACCACTGCGCCACCACAGAGTAATACTTGAAAAAGATGGAAGCAGTGAGAAGTCTTATCTCTCATTCCCTGATTCAGTTGCACTTGGTGACATTGGAACTGTACAAGGATTAGAGAGGCATTTTCCCATTCAGGAAAACAGTCACCTGAACAGTTCCTTCCATCATTTACATTCAGCACTTCCTAGCTGTAAGCTGTTCAGCTTCTTTTACAGGCAATGTTATAGCGTCCATAATTCCTGTAAAAAAAAAAAAAAAAACCTCTGCAACTTGATTTGCAAAATGAAGCCTTGAACTCAATTTAATCCTTCTGGTCCATTTCACAATCTCAATAAATGCCTGGATTCAAGCAAGTCATTGCTTTCTCTCTGGGGGCCAGGATAACTCGCCATGGCCAATTCGCCACGGGACAATTCAATGCTGTATTAATTGTTTCATTCAGCTACTTTTATTATTGATGGTTCCATTTTTGTCAAAATGATTGTGGCTCTTATATTTCTGGATTGACTTTATTATTATTCACCACGGTTCTGTTGAAATTAATTTAACTTTTGTATTTGTTGAATTAGCTGCGGTGAGTTGGCCGCAGCTAGTTGGCTGTGACAAATTGTCCCATTATGTTCTCTCTGCTTCCATACACTGTTCTACAGTGTGACCTATAAGTGTTGGGAAAGAGACCATAATTCTGTTATGCCTTCATCACAGAATTCAACAGGGATTTATTGCAGAAAGTCTTGATGGCTAAGCAATTTTCCTTTATACCAAAAGCTTAGATCTGTCTTTCTGTGTATCACAAGCAGCCAAATACACATAGCACGAACTTGAAACATGCGCTAAAAAATAAATAAATTTCCCCTTTCTTTGTGCAGAGGGGCACAAGGGGAGTTTTATTACTCCCCCCTGTAAGTTGGGGGAGGGATACAGGTTGGTGGTAGTCTCGATTTTCCACTTGGTTGACTGGAAAGGACACTGATTTGCCTAAGTTATTTCCTGCGTATTCCTTGGTTTTTAAGCTGGCCAGGAGGAAAAAGGGTCACACAGATCATCTTCCAAACATAATTGGGGGGGGGGATCAGAGAATAGAAACATAGATGTATGAAAGTGGCAATAGAATAATTATGCCCAAATGCAGAAATGTTTCCAGAGTGAAGTTTGCAAAGTTAGAGAGAAACTTAGTGACTCCACTAAAGATTTATTATAGATGAAGTTGCAATCAATCCTGCCAAGAAATAGAGCAATAAAATTTGACACACTGAGTTGATGCATGTACTTTGAAGTGAAACTCCTGCTTAGTTTAGACAAAAAATGCCACCTTTCATTTTCACTGTCGCTCAAGTTCTTTCTAGGTTTGAGGGACAGACTCCAAATTCAGTCACTGCACTTGCTGGCCCTGTTGCCAAGTTCCAGTGTTTAAAATTGTACCATTATCAAGTCATGTCTATGTTTGGCAAAGATTTGTAGACACAACATCAATAACTACGCTAAATATTTTTGCATTACTTATTTCTCTTCCACACTTTTTTCCAAGTAGTAAATCATACTGTAGTTTCTTTAATTTCCCCCGGCTTGTGAAAAACAGGAATTTATGTAACAGGCGCTCTGCTGCAAACTTTTTCCTGTTTGGAACTTCTGTTGTTGTTGGCAAAATTTGGAGATGGCTTAGCTGCTCCAAAAGTGACCTTGAATGTCCTTCATATAAGAATACTAGATTGTAACTTTTTGATGACTAAGGAAGCCTCTGCAGTTTCTGCAAAATACTAAATGGTTCTTTTGTGGATGGAGTGAATAATTTGCACAGATAGGTCTGCACACAGAATTACATTTTCAGTATAAAACATACTTTCAGCTTTGGTAAGGTGAGATATATGATGGCCACAAAACATCTTTGGTTTCATTTTTTTTTTTTTTGGAATGTGTTAATGGATTTTAGTGTGAACAGTCCAGAGTGTTGTGGGTTTTTTTTTAAGTTTTCCAACCTCATGTTCATCTTACACTGAATTATCTCAAGTAGCTTCAAACATTCTTATCTGCTGATGTTGCCAGGGACAAGGTGTAGCACTATTATTCTGTCTGTCCCTATTTTCAGTAGGAAGTAGGAATATACTTTTGCTGAGTAGATGAGCAAAACTTGATGTTTCGAATTAGAAAGTGATAATCTCTGGATTTGACATTGGGTGAATGAAGCAAGTTTACAGAAGCCTTGGCTAGAAACATCATACAAGATAAAACAGACCCGTAGAACAGCGGTATATTTCTCCCATTCAGTTATGAAACGGAGGAAGGGTCCTACTTCACACCCGAAAAAGTATACGCAAAGGAGGAATGTAAAAGTTGACACCACAACACACTCCATTTCTCACTAGCTGCTTTAAACATTTTACCTGTCTGTCTAATTGCATTATCAAATGTGAACCAGACAAGGAAGGTAAAGTGCCAAGAAAGTGGGAAAAGGGGTCAGGTTTCTGCTCCCTTGACACAAGACCACAAGTACACACACTCCAACACAAAACACCCACACCAATTTGATCCTTGTTTAAACTATATCTCATGCACACACACACACAAAAACCTTGCATCTTGCAAAAAGGGGGACTCATAGCAAAATATGAAATTTATAACCATATATTCCCCTAATATTTCTAATGGGCTTACCATACTTGTTCAAATGAAATCTGAATACTTTTATTTTGGTTTTATCTTATTATCTTATTCTAATCTTATATATATGTACATACACATACATTTTTTTTTTAAAAAGATAAAAACTAACACAAGCTAATATAAAGGAAAAGAGAAAAAGAGAGAGAGAAAAAGCAAAAAGTGCAAGAAAAGGAAAAAATAACAAAAGTTATAATTGAAATGGCTTCCAAAATTTTTGACAGCATTTTTAACTACAAATATATTTTAACCTGTCATTTTAATTATCAGGTGGTCCTTGAGTTATGACCATGGTGGAGCCTGTCCATAATGTTCATAAGACATAACTGTTGCATTTTATGACATTTTCTCAAGAGGTTGTTAAGTAACTGCCAGTTTTCGGCAAAAGCTTTGTAAATGCAGCTGGGTGCATTGTCCACCTGTTTCCATGATAGTTAAACCCGTTGCCATCATCTCTGGAAACTTCACAAGCTCGTTTGGGCAGTGTGAAAGCTATCTGTGCCTTTGCTGCCAACCCACCTGATTCCAGTTCCTTCTAAGGCATCTGCTAATAGAAAGACGTGCCCGGGAGTGCTGGGACAAGGGTTGTGTGATTTCTGCGGTCTTGGGTCCTTTCCCTGCTTCTCATAGGCCGGGAGATGGATGACTTGGTGGGAATGGACTGTTGGCTTTCCGCTCCCTTAGCAGAGGTAAAATAACTCTCTGTTCAGACCAATTAGCTGGTCAACTGGCAAGAGAAGGAATTGTAGTGGGTTTAACCCTTTTGAAGCCAAATGCCATCTGTACTGTTCTGTGTCCTTTGATTCCTCTAGGCAGCCTCTCTTCCTCCTCTTTTCTCTGTATTTGCATTAGTCTAGTCTGCTTCCTGAGAAGTTTGTCTTTGAGCTGACGGGATGGAATTATTGATGAATCCAAACTTTCCAGTTCCTCTTTGTGGGGTGGGAGGTAGGGGAACTGGCTTAGCAGATCCTGAATTTTTTTTTTCTTCAGCTATGCTCCCGTGAGGAGGGCTTTTTACATAGCATTTTGGCTAAATGTCTAGTGTCCAGAGACATTTGATAATCTATGGTGTTAATTTTCAGGTGGAGCAGGTATGGCTTCCTGCATGTGTGTAGTGCAGGATCCTGTTGATTCTAACAATGAAGAGTGTTATTATTTGGTGTGGCAGCCACTGTGATTTGTTGATCTTGATTCCCCCTCTTTGCATCCTACAAGTGTGATAGGTTTTGTTACTGACAGAAATACAATTGAAAGTGAGTGTGTGTGTGTGTGTGGAGGGGGAGATACTATTTTATATTGATATTGTTCTATTTCTCACTTGATGGATTGGTGGTTTTTTTGGGTGGGGTGGGGAATCCAGAATATATTACTGTGGCAGAGGAATTCAATATCTTTCTTACGTTGTCTTTTTTTTTTTTTTAGAACTCAATCCGTCACAACCTCTCTTTGCACAGCAAGTTCATTAGAGTACAGAATGAAGGAACGGGAAAAAGCTCTTGGTGGATGCTTAATCCAGAAGGAGGCAAAAGTGGCAAGTCACCCAGGAGGAGGGCTGCCTCCATGGACAACAGCAGCAAGTTTGCAAAAAGCCGAGGGAGGGCTGCAAAGAAAAAATCCGCTCTTCAAGCAGGTCAAGATGGAAATGGCGACAGTCCAGGAGCGCAGTTCCCGAAATGGCCTGCGAGCCCCAGCAATCATAGCAACGACGACTTTGATAATAACTGGAGTACTTTTCGACCTCGAGCCAGTTCAAATGCTAGTACTATTAGTGGAAGACTTTCCCCAATTCTGCCAGAACAAGATGACCTTGGGGAAGGGGACGTGCATTCCCTGGTCTATCCTCCATCAGCAACCAAAATGGCCTCAACCCTGCCGAGCCTTTCTGAAATGAGTAGTTCCGAAAATATGGAAAACCTACTGGATAATCTCAATCTTTTGTCTCCAAATACATCATTGGCTGGGTCTACCCAATCGCCACCTACTACCATGATGCAACAATCCACTGGTTATTCATATACATCGTCCAGTACAAATATAGGTTCAGCCAATGCAGACTACAGGAAGTACAGTTATGCTCAGCCTAGCATCAATTCTTTGTCCCAGATGCCTATGCCGACAATTCAGGACAATAAATCGAGCTATGGGACTCTGAACCAATATAACTGCCCAGGACTTCTTAAGGAGTTGCTTACTTCTGATTCACCGCCACATAATGACGTCTTAGCCTCAGTAGATACTCATGTTTCCCAGCCTAATAGCCGAGTGCTGGGACAAAATATACTAATGGTCTCTAACTCTGCAATATCACCATATGGCAACCAGCAGTCCCACAACAAAATCATTGCCCCCAGTGCTCACTCTCATCAAGGACACGTCCAACCCACAGCAGTTATAAACAGCCATACCTTGTCTCTCACCCTTAGCGCTGTGTCTCACGCTTCAAATGTGACGCATTCAACCTCAGCAAAAAACTCAGTCCAGGGGCTCATGAGCCACCCCATGCAAGTGAATAGCATAAGCCCCTTCACCACAGTGAACAGCTGTAATGGGTATGGAAGAGTGGGAATTGTTTCTTTCCATCAGGAGAAGCTGCCTAGTGACTTAGATGACATGTTCATTGAACGATTGGACTGCGATATGGAATCAATAATCCGTAATGATCTGATGGATGGGGAAACGTTAGATTTTAACTTTGACAGTGTGTTACCTAACCAAAGTTTGCCACACGGTGTTAAAACAACAACACATAGCTGGGTGTCAGGATAAGACTGGAAGGTTAGTTCTCTTTTTGTTATTTTATGACTATGTTGGCAATACATTCATTATCTTAAAACCTTAAAGCAATAGTATAAGGGCAAAATTGAGCTTGGGGTAGACTGTTCCATTAGAATGAAAAGCTGCATATAAATTATCTTATTTTCATGAAGTTGTCATGTACAGAACTGCTCCAAGAGTGTTAAAGGAACTCCTGCCCTAGAAGGAAATTAGACAAAGAGAGAAGGCACAGTAGATATTACATGTAAAATATCATTAGCAAATGCAATTATATAATTTGCTTATAGGATCAAAACATATTCTAGATCAGAAAGTTTATAAACACATGCTTTGCCTTGTTGATGAAAGATGATTTATAAATACATAGAGATAGTTCTTGACTTACAATCTTACTGAACATTCGAAGTTACAACAACAACAACAACAAAAAGTGACCTGGGACCATTTTTCACACACAACCATGGCAGCATCCCTGTGGTCACATGATCAAAATTGGAACGCTTGGCAAGTGACTCATATTTATGTCCCAGGGTCATGTCATCACTTTTTGTGACCTTCTGACAAGCAAAGTCAATGGGGAAGTTAGATTCACTTTACATTTCTGTTACTAATTTAACAACAGCAGTGATATACATAACAACGGTGACAAGAAAGGTTGAAAGATGGAGCAAAACTCACTTAACAACTGTCTCACTTAGCAATAGAAATTTTGGGCTCAATTGTGGTCGTAAGGACTACCTGTACTTTAAAAATCAATACAGAAGCTATAAAAAAGCTATCTTATGAGATATGAGACATGTTATTTTTCTAGAAGCAGGAAACTTAAATTCTAATAATAAATAAAATGTTATGATAAAAGTTTAGTAACATAGAATAACTTTAGGTGCAATTTGGCCAATAAATAATCAGTGGAAAGGGCAACAAGAAAATGGAAGAGAAAGGAATTCTTATTTTACCGTTAATCTAGGCATTTTAATGACTTCATTTTGAAATTACCATCATGTTGTTCATTCTCAGTTTTCTAAAGATTAATGGTTTTGGTAGGACATTCTTACATATTTGCTTTTGTTTTGTTATATGATGAAAGGATGGGGTGGAGTTACATTTTGAAAGTATCTTAGATGATGAATCGCACTATGTGATCTTAAGGTGTCACAGAAGGGCAGCTCATCAAAAGGCAACAAGAGACATGAAAGAGCAGCTACCATGTGAAGTCAAATATAGCATTATCTTTTACTTATTTTGAGTAAAGCCACAGGAGAATCACCACCACAAGTTTTTAAGGCATGAATACCTCAATATCCTCCCTGGCAGACTTATGTCAAAAGTTTGCCGGATGCCTGATGAAAAAGCCATAAAAATGCATTTTTATGTAGGGATCTGATCAATGAAGAGTGCCTTTTATCATTGTATGTTTTCTTTCTATTATCCTAGGTTACAGCTTAAAGTGCTTTAGACATCTCTGACTACAAGAACTGCATATGCATAAAGAAGTCCAAAGACGTTCTTCATCTTCTTTGCATTTTCTTGTATAATTTTTTTCTCTTGTCAGTCTTGGCTGCTGATCTCTTTCTCTCTCTCTTTTTTTTTTTGTACAAATATTTGCTGCCAGATACTTGCAGGTTATTCGCTGCTGAAAGTAAGGAATGTGCCATTGGAAGTGTCTTTATTTGGAAGTGCCAAACTTATTATTATGTAATAGAAAAGCAGAAGATACCTGACTGTATGCTGCAGCTTTCCCCGAATAGATGGCTTCCAGATGTATTACATTTCAAATCCCATAATCCCTGCTGACATGGCCGCAGTATGGGCAAAGTGGTGTATAGAATAAGCTGTAGAAGTAATCTTAATTTCTATAAGAACATATTAGATTTATTAAAATCATGGAACATGGTTGAACAGCTTGATTAATTTTCTTTTGGTGAGTTAAAGTTGCTGTAAATTTCATATGTGACAAACCATTGAATATAACCCAACCAAAGTTTTGGTATTCAGATTTCTACATTAGAGAGTATATTGAGAAGCTTTGTATGCATATGGAGTAGATTTATTTTAGAGCTCATTTCCAGACTGATTAATTTTATTAATAAAATGTAAAATTTGTAATACATCTATAACTATTTTCTTACATTTGCTGTTTTACAAGCTTCTTAAAAATATGCAGAATCCAATACTTTAAAGACATTCAGCATATTTTATGCACAGTATTTTAACAATTTAAGAGGAGAGAATTTTTATTAGCATTCTGTAAGATTTATAAGAGAAGGTTTTTACATATAAAATTTCTGGTTTTTATCTGGCATGAGGATGATCTGTATTCTTAGTATATATTGACAGTTCAAGTCTTAAATGTTGTTAAATACTTTGTACATACAGATCATATTTGTATTTATTTTATGAAGTTTTATAAAGATTGTTAGGCATTTGTGTTAATATTTTCATTAATAATCCATTTTAATTTACCTTTTTTAATTGCATGGTCCCTCATTTCTTTTTTATTACTGCCTCCTATTTTGATTTGAAGAGATCATACAGCTAGAAACTGGTTTACAATAATTATGATGTAATAATCTATTTTGTAGAAATAAATCTTGATCATCATAATGTAACAATAGTTTTGGTGGGGTTTACCGACCATTGCCTTCAACATCTTACAATGATCAAGGAAAGTTCCAATAATTTACTCTTGGATCGATAAGAGCAGACTTGCAATATATAAATAAATATAAATATCATTGAAATTGTGAGCTATATCTTATGTCTCTTTGATATAGTAGCTGTGTTGTGCATCTTTCTTTTATATGATATTGAATCTCGCCCCTCCCAAATCTTAAGCAAAGAAAATATTTATTCAAAAAAGTCTTCAAATCCTAGCAAATCAAATTTTTCAATTCTTTGAAGTAGATTTCAGGGGTGCCTGAGGAAAAGGCAAGGAGACTGGCCCCTCAAAATTGCCAAATCACTTTGTTTCTATGTTTTGGAGAGTGAGGTCATGAGGAATAGCCAGGGAGGATTTAGTGGACATTAGGTGAGATACAGCCCCTGAGGGACATTTAAGCTTTAACCCTCCTCCAGCGATTTACTATATCATGTGGTTCAACTGCACATGCCTCACGGAAGACACATGCAAGGTATTCTTTGAAGACCTTATATTCATATGATACCACATGGTGTACAGCTGCAGCAAGCATATATTTTAACTACCAGCAGAACATCCCTAAGAGATAAATGGTTCCATGAGCATTTTATAACCTAAGAATGTTTTTAAAATGCTGGCAAAGAATCCTGGGAAAGACTGTTAAATATTCTCGTGTCTCTGTGTATGTTTCAATTCAGTATGAATATTAGTCGAATACTGTTTGCCCAGATAAGGAACACCTCTGCTCATTTTAAATAACTGACAATTAGCATTACCTGGACCCAATGCTCAGTAATGCTATTATAGGGCAGGAGGACAGGGAAATTTAAAATATAATGGAGTGTGGTATTATAAAAATTAATGTGAAGATTGATCATACATGTTTTTGCATATATCTTTATATTCTGTAATTTTAAATAATCGCATATGATGGCTTTGTGAATTGTGTCAGTTGCTTTTCCAAGCAGCCAGGCTATCTTCTCTGCCTCAGTCTGTAAAAGAAATATGTAATAGAACTGTTCCAATTTAATGTACTGTTTTCTAATTATGTATTAATAACTGCATTAATGAGATCTCTGCTTTGATAAAACTGACAAGTTCTATGAAATGATAAGCTAATGTTGTAATGTTGAATGGTGACAACTCAACAGAGCATCTGTAAAAAAAGAGATGATTATTCATATGGACCAGTTCCTTGAAAGTCTTACAGTGCAATTCTGCACGTGCTTGCTGGGATGTAATTCTGACGATTCCGTGGGTCTGATATCGTAGCAAGCATGCCTCAGGATTGCAATTCTTAAGTTTGCACTCATTACAATGAATTAGATGTTGCTATGACTTTTAAACAACGTTAAGATCATAAGATGAAAAGTTCAATTATTAATTATAATTTATAATTAATGTTTTAGGAAAATGATTTTGTGTTTTATATGGTCTGAAATTAATGGGTATGGTTTAAGATAACAGAGAAAATGTAACTGCATTATAACTAGATCTTTTAAGAAAAGAACTATCCTCCATTTTGTGTTTCCCTTGTATCTCCCTCAACCAACACGTTGACATCCAAATTGTTACAGATCATTTTTGCTATTTGTAAAGAGAAGGCAATTTGATTGCTGAACACCTCGGACTACCTTTTGGATATTTGTGGAAAAGTGCCTGATGTTTTTCCAAACAGAAAGAAATCCTTTGTATAAACCCATATATGTATATGCATTATTTTAATGATCTTGTCCTTCATATGGCTATCTGTATGCTGATAAAGGATTCTGTTTATTTGTTATTGTTTGTTCTCATTCAGAAATGCAAAGGCATTTAAAATCTTTCTAATCTGTTTTTATAGTCATATCATGAGAAAAGGCTTTTTTAAAACAACTACTTGGGCATTTTTTATTGGAAAGAATATATTTTATAAATAAATAAATAAATACTATTTTCATTTTTAATATATGGGGACCTGAGATTGAGGGGGTATGATTTGCTTCAGAAAGTCATTGCTTGAGGCCCTATTTGCACCCAAATCCCCTGGCTGTGATTCCCAATTTTGCGTTCATTCAGTTATATATGGGATTATTTGTGTTCCTTCTCTGCTAATTTTCTCAACAAACACTTGTTTCAGGCTGTAACATTTACCACACACAACCAAAAGTCAGCAATAAAATGATGCCACTGTAGATTTTATTTTAACTGCTGTACCAACTTCTACAGCTGGAATCCTGGTCTATGTTAATTTGGTGTTCTTATTCCCAAACGTGTCACTACTGTAGCTGTGCTTGAAAAAAGAGAGAAGTTTGAGATGCCTAAATAGAGGTAGCAAGTTGCTCCCATAAACATTGAGTTAAGTTGACTTAAAATCTATTCACATCTCCTCTGATATATTCTGTGGCAGGACAGACTTCCTTTTTCTAAATTATTTTCCCCATGGCATTTAAGGAAATTGGATTTAGTGCCACTATGCAGCAAGATATACTTAAACTGAGATTTCAGAAACCATTCTCCACTGCAATTAAAGGAAAAAATGATTATATGCTAATGAGGTTTTTAAAAACTGCTGAGAAAAGGCACTAACAGTAATTAGTGGAATGGGAAAGTACCACTTATTACTAATGAAAACACCTCATCTCCCAAAGCCAATGGCTAACATAGGACTTCTTTTAAAACTTCTGTATATATGTTTCTGCAGTATTCATATTATATTAGCAATCACCATGAAAAATAACCAGACACTGTTTTTGGCAGTTCATTTACCTCCCTTTCTGTTGGGGTGCATCAGTACTGCCCTTTCATTGTCACAAGAGATAACAGTATGGTTTAGCCACTATAATCTAGTATTTGCAATAGTATTTTATATTGCTGCCTCTGCTGTTGCAGAAAGTTGTGAGGTCTTCAGCATAGCTTCTACATTCAGTCTTAAGAAGAGAGAACTCTGCTAATAGAATTTGGGGATTACATGGACTATTTCTATTCTGGTTCCCAAGAGGTATAGATATAACTGAAGAAAGAGATTCAAACTTAACACTTGTTTTTGTTTGAATTCATCTTTAAATATAAACATTTTATAACAAGGTATAAGTCTACAACTAACCCAATAAAAATGGTAAATTCAATAAAAAGGTGTCTCCTCAAAGAATTTTCATACAATAAATGAAACATCACTTGGTATGCCTGAAATGCAGAATAAAACATGAAATTATGCCTCCATTATCTACCATAGACTATATTTTCAAAGTAACAGTTTCAGTTTTGTTACAATATACCATATCTTCTCATAAAACAGTGGAACCACTTCTGGGGTACTAATCTGTCTTTGACATTTTACTTAGGAATTTCTCCATTTTTTATTATCAACTATCTTCAGCCTTAGCTATCTATTTAGAGCCTTCGAAGCATCTGTGGCCCTAAGAATGCTTCCAATGTCTACCACCAAATTGTAATTTTTATATAAATAAAAAATTAAATATATGTGAATCAATGTGATGTAATTTTAATTTAATTTAGTTCTGGTCCCATTCACTTTGCTTTGGACCTAGGTATTCTGTGGAATGTGACTCCAACAGACTAGTTAAAATCACGAGCCTCACCCCTCCTTCACCAGAGTTAGATATCTAATTGGGAGGAATTAAAAAAAAAAACTTATTAAAGAAAATATAACAGATATGACTGTGCCTGCTGTTTTGCAACCCAGAAATTTTTCTCATGGTTAATGGGAGATTCCATATTATAGAGTTGGGTTTCCCAACCTTTGCTACTTGAAGAGTTCCCCAATCAACATAGCATTGCTGAGAATTCTGGGAATTGATGGCTATTCAATCTGAAAGTTGTCAAGAAGATTGAGAATCACTGATTCATAGGAAGATATAATTAGTATTAATGACACCTTTCTAATAAATATCCCACAGGGTACAAAAAGTACAATATATAGAATAAGCATTGAATATAATACGGTGATATTGTCTATTTGTTCGTCTACTGAGAATATTTTATTATATATTTAATACATATTTTAATATGTATTTAATTCAATTATATGTATAATTGTACATGTGGTACATTTTTAGGAAAAAGAAACATATTCAGTCAGGAGTTCAATGATTTCATCAAAAGTAATGGCATATGACTAGCTATTAATTAATTTGATTGCTTAGTTCAAGTCAGCATGCAACTTGAACCTTCACTCCATTGCATTCCAGGTCTCAGAATTGCTCTAGCAACAGAAGCTATCAACACCCGTATTCTCTCGCACTGGCAGATCATCTCGGGGTGGGAAATGGATACAGATCTAGCTCCAGAAAGCTCAGGCCTTTTCATACACAAGCAATCATTTTAGCACACCACAAAATAATCAGAATCCAACTTAATTGGGATTAAAATAAAAATGGAGTTCGTGAGATAGAGAAGTTCCGGTGTCCTATAGTAGTTAACAAGTTGGTATAGGACTTGTATCCATCTGGGGCACTGGATCAACTTTGGTCCTGTTACACTGTTGTCTCAGCTCAGCCTGAATCTCAAAGATGTTATTGAGGAAATAAAATGAAGGAAGATCCCCATGTAAGTAGCCTTGAGCTCCTGCAGAAAAGGTGGGAGAGAGAATGTAAATTTTTTTAATAATAAATTATTGAGTATGGCTAGTCTAGACAAAAGAAGGACTAGGGGTGACACGATAGCAGTATTCCAGTATTTGAAGGGCT